AAAAAATGTTTGACAGCCGAAGCAGCCAAATATACAACAAATAGAAGTATTTGAAGAGAGCCAAAAGTTGGAGTTGATTTGACTCACTTTGATTTGACGTTCGAACATTTCCAAATTCAACACACTGCATTTGTTCATAAGACCGGCGAGCGATGTGAAGAAACGCACGTCCTTTTTCAATTGTAAATACTCAATGAGTACCTTAAATCAAACAAATTCGATGTTGGTCGTGAACAAGAGATGAAACATACGAGGAAATTTTTCAGGGTTTATAATGGAGTGGAAATTTCGTGGACGACGAATGTTGCGATATTGCTTAATCACTATTTCATATTACATTAATGGCTTGTTCGATTGCATTTGAAACGTCGAAATGACATAAAATGATATCATGAAAGATGAAAAAGAAGTTTTTTAGTTAGATTATATTCTCTCAAATTAAAGCTAAAGTAATTACTGCTCAAAAAAGGCATGAATAATATACCTTCTGTATAGCGATATTACCACCACTCAGTAGATGTATACCAAGTTGCAATGTTTCGGCAACCATATCGCTTGGCTCGCCATTACTTGCCGACAGATACATCAAGCACATTATGGCTGCACCTCGATCCGCTAGCACGGCTTGCTCGGCTCTCAGTGCCTGTGATTCTTCCTCCTTCTTCTGAAAGATTTCGGTACTTGAAGATAGTATAAGAGTTCATAAAAAGTCTCTCTTTTAAACATATAAATCACTTTAATAACAATCGCAATTTTAGAAGAAATGTGAAAGAAGCGATAATCATGCGATTTCATTAAATCAGCAAATATTGCTTATTGAGCAAATAAGTTGCACTGTTATCCTCCAATAATTATCGTCCAATTACAGCGATCAGATGCAATTCTAACCGCTTGGTCCATTTCGCCCTCATCGTCGTCTTGATTGTCCTCTTCCTCGATATGAATCGATTTCGACATGACGCGTGCAAAATTCACATACAATCTATCATCAGCAATTGACGACGTTTTACTTTGTTCACTTGTCGCGGCACGTTGGAAGCATTGAATCAGTTGTTTCAACGGGTCGGGCCGTTGCTGTTCTCTGTAACCCAATCGAATCAAACTGAAATGAATCGGAATTCCGGCGGTCACCTCGAGATGAAATGAATCGGAAGCTCGGGGTTGCGACCGCAATTATGGAGTCAATTGTGTTCGTGAACCGAGTTTTCAACATATTCACAAAATGCTACGTCTGAGAACAATCCGAAACTTTCGAAAAGGTGTGGCTCCACCATCGACATTCATTCCAGAATCAAAATCAACTCCTAGTTCTCACTTCTCCTCGCGACTTTCATCTATGATCAGCACGTCATCTTCTGAGTACTTCAAATGCACTGGCTCTTGTTCTTCGTCTTCAA